ACATTTAGTATGTTGTGATGATGCTCAGGGAATGAATGTTAGGTAATATAAAAAAAAAGTTGCAGGAGAAAAAAAAAACAGTAAAACTGTTCTTTATCATTTTTTAAAAAAATGCATATTTGACGACTGCAGCGAGCTGTATGGGCCCAGCTGGGTACTACTTTCTAGTATGTTCATTCTACTCACTGGGGTTTATGCCTAAAGTCAGGCTTGGGTTCATGTATAGGTATGTGTCAGCTGTGCTAGCTATTGGATATATTTAGACTAATTAAGTTCATTGGCAGAACAATTGAATGAGGGGGGGAGGCATGGAGGGCAACCATGGATGCCAGGGACAATGGGGGAGGAGGATGGGACATAGCAGAGGGTGGGGGATGGGGAATCAAGGATGGCAAAACAAAAGGCAAGGTATGCAGGACATAAGAATTAGAAAATTATTTGCTGAGAACATGTATGTTGATGTGCTTGATTGAGACAATGCACAGTGTATTTTGGATGGAAAATTCATTTGTGTGTTGTGATGGTGTATAGTGAATTAATGTAGAGAATGAATAAATTTTAAAAAAAAACTAAAAAAAAAAAAAAGCTTCCTAACAACAAAGGAAACAATGAGTGAAAAGATAGCCCTCAGAATGGGAGAAAATATTTGCAAATTACTCTTCAGACAAGGGATTGAGTCTAGATATGTATTTAAAATGTAGAAACATATATATATGTGTGTGTGTGTGTGTGTGTGTGTGTGTGTGTGTGTGAAAAAATACATGACTGATTGAATTAAAAAAAAAACAAAAAACAGGACACCACCAGTGGAAAATTCCATATCTGACTTCATGTGACGGGTCACAGTTCAAGTGCTGCAATACAAAGATCATGTATAAAATTACCTTCAAACTGTGTGAAACAAATGAATTTTGTGTTTAGACTTTAGTCTTATCCCTAATGTATCTCATTTTATATATATGCAGATATTCCAAAATCTGAAATAAAAATCTGAAATCTGACACACTTATGGTCCAAGCATTTCGAATACGGGGTCCTCAATCTGCAGCAGCAGCAGCAGTGGCAGTAGCAAT